CCGACTGGCGACTAGTCTTCTCCAAATTCGCGAGCTTGTGGGTTTTAGCGGAGCACCAGTGACATGCTGGTCCCTTGTCACATATTTGGTAATCATGTAGCGAGCCCAGAGAGAGGTTCTGGTTTGAAACTTCCACCACAATTTGTATCCAAAGGCCCGCAGCACATTCCCAAGTGTATTGATACCCAGCCCATTCTGCTCCGTTGGGCAACATATATACTACTCCAATCTCGCCAATGCTGTTTCTCCCGACCCTCCACCTCCCCCCAAAAAAATCTGGACATGATTCGCTCCATTTGCTGCAAAACACACTACGATGGGTCCAAAACGGTGAAGGTGTATAGTGGTATCGCTGCTAAAACATGACGTATTAGTACTAAGCGACCCCCGGCAGATAGCAAATTTCTTCTTCCAGCCCGCGAGCTTTGCTTGCATTTTCAGCACCAGGTGCTGGTAATATTCCTTTTTGCTTCGGCCTTTGAATATCCGGCAGCCCAAATACAAGAAGGGCAGCCTCTGACGTCAAAAGCCTGTCAACCGAGATATAAGTTGCTCTCTAGAAGGGGGCATCTGGATGAGGTCACGTAGAAACTCTTATCTTTGTTAATCAATTGGCCGGAGCCTTCTTGATATATCTCTAAAAAATACAGAAGAGCTTTCACCGACCTCTGATCCCCTTTGGTGAAAATGATTATATCATCTGCAAATGACAAATGAGACACCGGTATGGTGCCCCTTGGTTGAGCATAGTTTCGGATGGCGCTCGATTCCACCAAATTAATTAAAGCCCGACTAAGTGCCTCAGACACTAAGATAAACAAGAATGGGGAGAGGAGGCCACCTTGCTTTAATCCTCTAGAAGGCTGGAAGAAACCATGCGGTGTCCCATTTACTAGTATAGAGAACCAGGACGAAGTCAAGTTATTCAGCACCATGTTCACGAACCGATGGTGAAAATTGAATTGGAGGAGGAGCTTGGATAAGAAACCCCAGGATACCCGGTCGAAGGCTTTCATCATGTCAAGCTTGAAAATGGCATTGTAGCTACGGAGCCGCTTGTCAATTGCTCCTACCAACTCCTGAACCAACAATATGTTATCTGATATGTCCCTGTCCTGGACGAAAGTGGACTGCTCCAGTGATATAATAGAAGGCAGGATCGGTTTTAATTATTGCATAGAATTCGGGTAAAAACCTTGCTGACAAAAGTGCATAAACTTATCGGCCTAAAATTCGAGAAGGTCTAAGGTGCATCTTTCTTTGGGATTAAGGTAAGCAGGGTGGTTTCAATGCTCTTCGGAACTGGCACCCCACACATAAACTCCCGAGCCGCTTGGTACACTTCTTCGCCAACAAGACCCCAACATTGTGTGAAGAAAACCCCTGTAAACCCGTTTATCCCCGGCGCACTATGCCCGTCCAGTTGAAACACCGCTTGCTTGACTTCCTCTGAGGTGAGCTCGCGCAAAAGCCGGTCATTTTGTTGCTGGGACACAATTACGAGGAGGTTTTGTAACAAGCGTGCAGCGGCGAGTTCGGTCGAGGGTGGGGTAGTGGACATTAGGTCTGTGAAAAAGGACACAGCCTCTGCTCCAATGGCCTAGTCATCCTCAACATAAGTACCTTGTGAGTTTTTGATCCGGCGGATTGAGAGTTTTGCATGCTTGTCTAGCAGCTTAGCATGAAAAAATCACGTGTTAGCCTCCCCTTCTTTCAGCCATTTGACCCTAGCCTTTTGTCTCCAAAAGATTTCCTCGTCTGCCAGACACTTTAGCAATTGGCCCTAGCCTGACTCCATTGCATCCGTGTTGCTTCATTATCCTCCTCTTCCAGTCGTAGCTCTTGTTGCCGGACCTCCTCTTCAGCCCGCGCTATATTCTCAAAGACATTCCCAAAAACGGACTTATTCCAATCGCTTAGTACCTTCTTCAGTCATTTCAACTTTTGCGCCAGGAGAAACATGCCATAGCCTTCCAGAGGCTAGTTCCAGCTTTGCTCCACTACTCCCATAAAGTCCGAATGTTTGACCCACATGTGTTGGAACTTGAAAGCTCCTGATCGCGTTTGCCTTTCAACATCAAACCGCAGGAGCAACGGGGTATGATCGGAGGCCGTCCAGTTTTGGTGCTGGATCTCTGAAACTGGGAATTGCCTCTGCCATGCTACGTTCATCAAGACTCTATCCAGCCGCCTCCATACACGACGTCCTTGGCGAACACCTGTTCAAGTGAATCAGCTCCCGCTCACTGCTATAGTTTTCAATCCACAGTTGGAAATGCACTCAGCAAAATCATTCATTACTGCTCGATCATGTGGTGTGCGCCCCAAGTACTCATCTTCAGATGTTATCACATTAAACCCCCCCACAATCCATGGCTTAGACCCCAGGTTCCCCGATATGTTCAATAAATCATTCCAAAGGCCACGTCTTTCAGTTGTTGTGCATTTAGTGTATACAAAGAAACAACAAACCTCACTCGACCATGACACGTGTGATTGCTACATGGAGAAATTGCTCCGAATTTAGCAACACATTTACTGCGAATTCTGGCCTCCATAACACTCAGATTTTGTTACTTATATTACTTAGCGCAAGGTGAAAACCAAACTTTAACCGAAATTCTTCGAGCCGAGCCACATCTACCATTGGTTCTATAATCACTAGGAAGAAGATTGAGTGCATACCTATTAGTTTTCAGGCCTCTGACTGACACACAGCCAGCCACGCCTCGTATGTTCTAGATAAGTGTGTTAAGCATTAAAAAAGAGGAGGGGTAAAGCGGGTGCAGCTGCCTTTACCAACTGTCTAGTGATAATTGTTTTGGGCAAATTGAGGAAACTGCGTTTCCTACCTCGCTTGGTCACAGTGTGGCTGTCTCGGATTGGTATCCATTCGCTCCTTGAAACTCGAAAGCTCATTCAACAGTATATGCCTAGGCTTCTCTGGGTATGGCTCCTCCGTGTCGGAGAGAGACTTGCTTTGGCAACAGGCACTGGTCATCAAGTATGCGTTCCGTAAGGTTTGCTCCAGCTAAGCCCTCCAAGCTATTGTTCTCGCGGGAGTCCCCAATTGGAACGCTATCCTGGCATGCTTCAGCAGCAGCAGCGAGCCCAACAGCTAGTGCCCTTGGTCCTGCATAGATGTCTTGCAGACTCCCAGCTCCATTCGCCATTGCCTGGGATGTGCACAGCACTGTCACTGCTGGTGCGGCTTTTTCAGTTGCATGCGGCTGGTGCTCCATGATTAAGGTTGGTCCTGCTATCTCTTCTGCTTGTTGCATCATAGGCTTGGCCTTCCAGACCTGCTGGGTTTCAGCTTGCTTGATGGGTTGACATTGCGGCTGCCCTTGAATCCCCTCTGGATTATTGCAGCAGTTGGCTTCATCATGGCCTATCTTGTGACCAAAGAAGCAGTAGGCGGGAAGATTTTCATACTCAACGTGCTGCCAGAACCCTGGGTGGCCATTGCCAATCCAAACCTTGTCCGGCAACTCCTCCTAGAGGTTAACTTCGACGCAGAATCTGGCCACACCAGGTCGGGTTAAGGAGGCAGTAGACGCATCAAGTTTTAGGGGCTCCCTAATGAGCCGAGCAATGGAAAATAAAGGACCCTTGCTGAAGAAGTGAACAGGCAAACGTGAGAGCGAGACCTAGATGGGAACCACCGGCGATTCTACCTCAATAGAGAAAAGGGGCGTCCATTTGAGAACCCGCATTGGAAACCCTTGAAAGTGCCATATCCCACGCAGCCAGCAGCGCAGGTATTCCTCTTCTCCAGCGAAACGAAGTAGAACATGGCAGGGATCAAGCAAGCCAATGGAGTACTCACCTTTGAAGCCGACAGCCTTGAACTCTCTGCGTAGCGCTTCCATATTCGGCCTTCCCTTTGAGAATTTCCCTACTAGAGTGTGCTGGAACGGTTTCAAGAGTTCCTGCACTTCTGCTTTAGAGAAAAATACCGCTGGCTTGCCCTTTTGAGTGGTGGCCTTCTTTACAATGGAACTTTGATCCAGGAGAAGGGACCGAACGACGCTTTGGCCTGGTGCCGGCGACGGCCGCGGGTGCTGTCGGAGGATGTTCACAAACGACTTGGTGGCCAGAGGTGCAGGCCCTTCATCCAGCGGGGGAAGGGCTGCCGTTGCAACCATGACCAAGGAAAACCCTAGTCGCTTCTTCTTTCCAAAACAGGCAACCCTTTTTTCGATCATAGAATTATTGATGCACTAATGTAAATTCTCAAATATAACTACCTCATATCGATCGTAGAACTTTTTTCTTCGTAATTATGATTCAAGAACTTCTCTCTACTTCTCCAATTTCTCTCTAACTGTTCTCCTCTTTTCAAAGGCCTTCCTTAGGGAGGGAGGCCATGAATTTCGTTTCATTTTATTTTATTTTTCTGATAAAGTCTCTCCTAAATTTTCTTGTGGGTGTTTTCTATTTCTCTTAAGGATTCTTAATACGAATTTTTGTTCTCCTAGGAATTTCTATGGAGATTTTGTGTTTTTTTATTATTAGATTTGAATTTATTTCAAATCTGATTGTCAGATGTGAAATCTTTATAGATTTTAGATTTATTTCGACAGATAGGAACTTAAGACCCTTGATTAGTAGGTTTAGTGATTGCAACATGAACAAAAGGGAACTGCAATAATTTATTTCTGTTAGAAGGCAACTTTGTATTTTTTAGATTTTTTTTTAGGATCTATTGTATCTATAATTTTTAGTGTATTTTTAACCTGCCATTAAGATTATGATGTAGATCAATTCGTGTTAGATAAGTTTTAGCAATTTGTTAATGAAATTTACTTTTTTATAAAAGTAAAAAAGTTGACGTGATCGGAAGGAGTTACCATCTTCGCTTAATGGGACCCATTGCACTTATATCCGGCCGCTATCGGAGAAAATTGTTCCACAGACAGAACACCAGTACACCGTCTAATTGGACTAGATGCAATTATTTTACACATACCTTCTAGAAGGGCAGCAATGATTACTCACTGAAGACGAATTGACAGATGACAATTGTGTTGAAACAAAGTGTAAACCAAAAAATAATTGGAAGAGTTGAATCAACTGAGAATAACTCCATGGATAGAAGAATGTAGAACTCCATCAGAACTTTCAGCCACACCATATTAGTACAGTTGAGTTGAACATTGACAAGAGGAGAAGTGCTTAAGTTCATTATGGCCCGGCGGCCACATGTCATGGTGGTGGCGCCCCCAGCCCAAGGTCATGTCAGGCCGCTCTTGAAGTTGTCGCACCAAATTGCTAGTCAGGGAATCAAGGTCACGTTTGTTAACACCGAGATCATACATTCAAAAGTCGTTGCAGCGATGTCAGATAGCAAAAATGAGGAAATTGGAGGTGTCACACTAGTATCAGTCCCTGATGGAGTAGGGCAGGAAGATGATCGAAAAGACATCTTCAAGTTCACAGAGTGTTTTCAAAGAACCATGCCTGGCAATTTGAAGGACTTGATTCAAAGGACTAATGATTCAAACGAGGACGAGCCTATCAGGTTTGTCCTAGTTGGGGCAACAATTGGGTGGCTATTAGATGTTGTTCAAGATTTAGGCATTAAACAGGCTGCCTTTTGGACTGGCTCACCAGCAGGTTTGGCCTTCTTCTGTCATGTTCCTAAGCTTATTGAAGATGGAGTTCTGGATATGAACGGTAGGGGAAGCTGATTGTAGCTTTTTGCCATTTGTTCTTTTGTAATTATATTTTTTATTTATTGAAGATGTTGTCAGTTTCCACATGCCTGCAGGAAATATAGTAGAAAATGATCAAGCAAGTATTTCTGAAGAAATTCCAGCTTGGAACTGTTCTGAATTACCTTGGCATTTCCCCGGTGAGCAAAAATTACAAAAACTGTTTTTTGATATGGGACTGGTTATCCGTCCAACAGCTCAGCACGTAAAGTGGATTCTCTGCAATGCATCTTACGAACTTCACTCACAAGCTTGTGACTTGGTCCCGAACATTCTTCCTGTTGGGCCATTTCTGACAACTACTGAAAATTCTGCCTCTACTGGAAGCTTTTGGCTGGAGGATACCTCTTGCTTAAGCTGGCTAGACGGACAAGAAGCCGGCTCAGTTGTTTATGTTGCTTTTGGTAGTATAGCAGTTTTCAGTCAACAGCAATTTGATGAAATTGCTTTGGGTCTTGAGCTATCAGGACAGCCATTTCTGTGGGTTGTTCGATCAGACCTTGCTAATGGATCACCTGTTGCCTATCCTGATGGTTTCCTGGAGAGAGTCGCTGATCGTGGGAAAATTGTCGAGTGGGCACCTCAAGAAAATGTGTTAGCTCATCCATCTATTGCTGTTTTCCTAACCCATTGTGGATGGAACTCGACAATGGAAGGAGCAAGTCTTGGGGTCCCATTTTTGTGTTGGCCTTATTTTGCGGATCAGTTCTACAACCAGAAGTACATTTGTGATATCTGGAAGGTTGGTTTGAAAGTAAATCCTGGTGAAGATGGTATCAGATCAAGGACTGAAATTAGCACAAAAATACAACAGGGAATTTGTGATGATAACATCAGAATAAATGCATCCAAGCGGAAGGATTTGTGTCAGAAATGTCTCAGCAAAGGTGGATCTTCTTTTGAAAATTTCAAGAAGTTCATTGATCATCTGAGGAGTTGAAAATTTTTGTCATTTTCTACTTGAAGGTAGTGCTTTGCCGTCCAGGCCAGTCATCAGTACTTGTGGCTTGACTTAGTTTTTTAACGTGTATTTTAGGCTGGCATAATGAGATCGATTTCTAATTGTTGCAAAATCAAATGGCTATGGTAATTGTTCAGAATCTTCCCTTCTCTGTTTTACTTTGCTTAATCTTTTGTGGGTTCTATCTAAGATTCAAATGAAATTCAGCCATGGGTGATGCATTGAGGTGGAAAACTGAAACCATTTCCAAGCTTGATTAGTTATCTTATAAATGATTACGGGGTGAGTGAATATAGCAACGTTTCTAAAAAACCTAAGAAATTGTTTGAGAAGAATTTTGTATTGCTCGTGCTACAAGTCATCTAAATATAAATGTCATTATAAATTTATTACTACAATTGATTCTAAGGTTATTATTGAAGACTAAATTTTTTTAGTGCAGGAGGTAAAGGTTTTGAGTTCAAATGTTCCTTCCCGCTCCCCACTTCTTAAATCTCGTTCTTTCCATACTAATTTTTTTAAAAATCCTTTTAGTGATTGAGAAGGCTCCTTCCTTGGAAGACAATACAAAAGGCGCACCAGGAATGGTTAGAGATGGTGGAACTAGATATAAAAGAAACTAGGAAGAGCACAGAGGAAACATCAGTTCTTCATCAACAAATACCGCAGTTACACTCAGAACATGGGACAGTGGAAGTGAGGATTGGAGTGACTTCAGATATGGCCAATCATGGCCTAGGCATTGGAATAAGTCTGAGACAAGGTGATCAAGGATTCCACCGAGGTTGGGCGATACGGGCTAGAAGTTCAGGATCAAACCTGGTGGATGAAGCAATTGCACTTAAATTGGCAATGTGTAAGGATGCCGCAGAGCTACTAACGGAAGTGATATTCCAAGTGCAAAGTCCTCAACTCCTCAACTATATCCGCACAAACAGAGTAAGTGACATTCGACTAGCTACTGTGGTTGATGACATTATTCAACTAAGAGATTTGTTTCATATGTGCTCCTTTTGCCTAGTTAGAAAAGATAAGACTCAACTAAGCTCCAAACTTAGCATTCATGCCTTAGGCATTATTTTGGATGAGGAACTTTGGTTTTCTTAGTGGTAAAATCGCCGCTTGTAAAGTTCAATCGAGCCTTTGCTCACACCTGTAAAGTTCTTGTCAAGTAATACAAGTATTTATCGTTTCGAAAAAAAAAAAAAAAAAGATTGAGAAGGCGCCTTAATATTTTTTCTGTTTCATTTCCATTTTTCAGTTTTGTTGGTATCTGAACTTTATGTTGACTAATGATAGTCCAGTCCTCCAAGACAAAATAAAAGTCTCTTCCTTCATTTCCTTTAATTTAAAATTGTGTGCTTTTTGAATCATCTTACTAAGTCCCCCGTTACTAAAATGACACGTACTCAATATATTCGCGAGTTAGCTCGATCAAAATTCAACCTTCAGCTCAAACTTGACACTATATATATGAAGTTTAATTTCAAGCTTAGTTGAAAAATATGCATTTGTTTAAAATGTTTAATATTTGTTATTATGAAATCCTATTGTATCCCTTGTTTACAAAATATAAATTATTTATTTCTTTTACGTAAATTTGAGTGAGAGCTTGATTAAGCTCAATTGAAGTTGGCTATATTAAATTTATAAGTAAGTCAAGTTCAAGACAAAATTCTATGAGCACGAAAAGCTTAGCTCAGGATTGATATAAAGGATTGTAGTTGAAATTAAAACTCAAGTAGTAAGCTACTCTAATTCAACCTTGCTCATTTACACTCTGTCCCATAGTACTAATTACCCTCTGGATAACTACTGTTAGCTCCCTTCTAAGGATTGAAAAAATACTACTGGCTAAATTTTAGTTTGGAAACTCTTAACAATGCAACTATTACTTGTGACAAAGTACAATTGCCAAAATTGTTTTTTGGAGCAATTGCCAAATGTTTTAGTTTAAGAACTCTGTTTAACGTGAGCTATAGCCATTCTTTCCTGTCCTCTTGAGGATTAGGGGCCTCGCAAATTTTTTACTATCCAGCTCAAATTGGTTCGTATAATTCTGATTCATGTAATTCTTATTATATTTGGTATAAACTTAGGTTTCGTTTGATAAAATTGAATCTAAATTCTGAATTCTGAATTCTGAATTCTGAATACTGAAACAATTAATTTGCTGAATTTTAAGTACTGAAAATAAATATATGAATGTCTGAATTTTAATGTTAAACCTATTTGTACTATTTGATAAACATTTATAACTGAATGCTTAATAAGTTAAATTTGACAAATTTGCCCTTATATCTTTTCATCCAAAAAAGAAATAGAACCTATGATTTAATTAGCTAAAAATGTTAGGTATGAAAATGATAATATTTATTTTTAAATCAAATTAATATAAAAGATGAAATGTATTATATGTGGAGTATGGAGAAGATGTGAAAATCATTCAAAAGGGAGAAAAAAGAAATAAAAAATCATTAGATAGAGAATATTAGATAGTTTAATTAGATAAGAATTTTGAACATAATTAACAAACAATGGTAGATTTGGTAGATAAGATAAGGTAATTGAAGTAATTCTATTGATTTCTGTCAGAATTAAGCATTCAGTTAGGATTCTTATGCTGAAAAAAATACACACAAGTTCAGCACTACTTAACAAGTTCAGCAAATGGATTTTCATTTATCAAACACTCAAAACATCTGAATGTCTGAAAAAATTCAGATTCAGCACTTTTTTATGTTATCAAACAGACCCTTATAGAATTCTGGTGTAATCACTAATTTAATTGTACGAGATGACAAATTTAAATTTCCACTCAAATTGTACAAATTTACGTCAAAAGTTATAAGAATTATATGAACCCATTTGAATTGGACAAAAGTAAGCTTGTAAGTTGTAAGGTCTAATCATCCCTTTGAAAGAATCTCAAAAACAACTAATAAGAATCATGTAGAGTAGAGAAACACCCACAAAATCGTCCATCTACCTTTACTCTTCCAGGTTACTTCAAATATCGAAACTTGTTTTACTATTTTTACATGCATTGTGATAATAAAAAAAAATTGTATCTAGTTCAGTAATAGCTTATATAAACTATAAATTGATAGTTTTCAAAAATGGAGTGTTAATTTATTTCAATTAATTGGAAAGTAATAAAAAACTAACAAAAAATGGAGTGTTTCTATCAAAAGACTAGCAAGTAATCATCCAATTGTCTATTGACTTTTCATGAACCATGTGTAAGAAACTACAGCGGAAAAGCCAAATTGGAATTGCCCTAGTCAAGTGACGGGACCAACTGCTGAGCCCTCCGTCGGCCGCCGCCCAAGAATATACCTTTTTCTTTTTTAAATAAACCAGAAGAATATTCTTCTAGGTAGTGGTGAGATTCAGCACATATTCTCCAACCTAAAATATTACAAATTGGGTACGCTGAAATCAATAGATGTAGTCATTTGACCCCTAAAATTTTTAAACCTATTCAATTTTGAATTTAGGTGAACAGCATTCAAGTTTGATTCGGAATTCAATTCGGAATCGGTAATGAAAATAGTGAATACTGTTTTCAAGAACAAAATCTTGAAATTAGGAAATTTTGAGCAATGTTATGACCAGACCCAAATAGGGTAAAAAAATTCTATTGGCCATTAAACTATTTTGATTGTACATTTTGGGCTACTCGAATATTTTTTTTTTTTGGTCAATGTGGTCACTAAACTCTAAAATTGGTATACTAATAATCATTCCGTCAAATGTTTCTGTTAATTCTTATAGAATGAGTTTCATTCACATACCAAAAAAACAATAGCAATTTCGTCCAATCATAGGCAAAATATTTTAGCCACTAAACCATTCAATTTATATATTTTTTGCCAATAAAAGATTTTTCGTTTCAAATTGCCCATTCACTTAGCAAAGTGGTATATTAGTTGTAATTCTATCGATTTTCCTCATAAGTTTTTCATTTTTCACCTAATTCGAGATTTTGGTCTTAAATGGTCAATTTTTTTAGGTTTTTTTTTGTGCATCTAGAGGCTTAGATTTTTCAATAGTAGAAAAAAAAATTAGAATCTATAAGAGTTGGCTTTATATATTCTAATTTACAAGTATTGGCAAAATATGTAAATCATATAATGAAGTTCTTGTGATTTAATTCCATGAACCCTAAAACTAAATGAAAATAGTAAATATAATGACATTGATTAAAGGACCACAAATATACAATTTGGTGAATTGAGAAGTCAATGTGAAACAAAAAATAGTTGAGTGACTAAATGTATATTGTTTGAATAATTTAGTGATCGTGTAGGATTTAAGATTTTCATCACACTGGGATGAATTTACCCATGCTTTTGGCATGTGCACTCCTTCCGTTAGGGTTAACTACGAATTTGGATGGAATAGCGACCAATATATACATTTATGAATTGAGTAGCCATTTTGAATAAAAAAATAGTTGAGTGGCTAAAAGTGTGTGATCTAGATAGTATAGTGGTTGCTAGGGTTTTTTGCCTGCCAAAATATACATAATTGCATTATTTTCAAAAGAATTCCATGTGACTATAACACATTTATATCTTTAAAATGAGTCATGTAATGTTTATTGTTGTGTCATAATTGTTTAAAAGGTACATTTATACTTAACCAACTTAGTTGCAAATGCTTCCAATATGCTCAGATAAGTGTTTTCTATACTTAAATAAGACTACGAATATAAATATATTATATAGTGTAATTTTTAGTATATTTATATATCAAACATGACTTGACAATGTACAATGTTCACTACTATACTTACGCATAATGACAAATTTATTTTTATAGACTCATATTATATATAAAAATATGGTAATTGATGCATAGAAATAGAATTTTACTGTTGAGCACACCACAAGAACTACAAATTCAAGCACATCTTCTGCGAGGCAAACTCAACTACTGATGCACTTTCGAAGCTAGCTAGCTAGCACCAGACATGGTTCTACTACTTTTTCGCTGAACTTATTACCATCTAATGTCAAAAGTTCGATTAGATTAAATTAGATCAAGTTCAATTTCCCTCGGTTAGATTTTATAAACAACATTGAGGTTAGGCTTTTTGCCCCCTCATTGTACCTTATATTTCAATAAAATTTGGGATGGCTACCCTCCCCCAAATATGGGGTTTATTGCCAAAAAAAAAAATAGGGTTTTACTATATTTGATGAATAAGAGTGCAATTACCGTATGTAATGTGTTCCTTTTTTAATGTATATGCAAACGTATATCATATGCTATAGTTATACTACATATACTAACGTGGTGTGTATGATATTATAGTTTTACGATGATGATATATATTTATATATATATATATATATATAAAACATTATACGTGGAATGATTTTTGATAAGAATACAATTTTATTATGAGGTATATAATGTTGGAAAAAGGTCTGAACAATGCTAACAAAATTGTAGACATAATTTAAGAAAGTTTGAATCGTACTTAATAACACTATCCTAAGAAACTATTTCAGAAAGTTGAAATGTTTCCCCATGATTGAACAAGCCTTCTTCTTGTAAACAAGAAGGAATAGAAACTAGCAAACATTGTATGAATCCAGCAAAAAGGAGGAAAGAGAAAGGAGAGAAAGTGAGTTGTCAGGAAAATTGTACTGTGGGCTCTAAGTGCACTTTCCAAGGTGGGAACAACTGGTATTTATAGGCGTCAAAAATAATATGTTGGATGTGACAGCCCCACCTCTCCCTAAGGCGAACCCTAGGGTATCAGCGGACTGCCTGCCTAGCTCTCGCCGGGGCTCAGTCGTTCAAAGAACTAATATCATCAATGAAACGGATAGAACATCTTCCAATACAGGGAATTAAAACCCTAATTAAAACACAATCACTATTTCAACGTTCCAGCTTAATATATGTATCAACACATGACAACTTACCATTCCACACTCAAAATTACCTAGCATAAGTCATACTTAAAATTTAAGCTTACAAGTCTGCTTAAACAAAAGTTACAACCTCAAAACGCAAGTACGAGCAAAATAAAGCTAGAAAACTCTCGATCAAGTCCCTTTCCGATCTGTTAAGGAAAATAAAAGGGAATAGGGTGAGTTAAAACCCAATGAGGTTCCAAGTAAAAACAAGTAAACACATAGTCACATAAGATCACAAAATAATCAAATAAGCATCGTACAGTAGAATAACAATTAATCACAGTTCAATTCAAGGATAC